AATGGATCTGGGCAGCTAACAGGCAACACCACGTGTTTCATCCTGGGAAAACAGCAAGTGCTGCACTTCAAACCGGCGGGCCTAATTTATTGTTTCCTGAAGACCATTATTCTGCACAACCTCTGTATTTTGTAGAGAACAGTGCCTGTTACACCATGGGGCCGAGCCCTTTTTGTGCTCTTTCCTTTGTATTTCTCAGTATTTCTACTTGTGCACAGGCATGTGCAGTGCTTACATATGCATGATATTCGCAAGTGGCGCATTTTCGTGAAAGGCACTTCTTCACAGGCAGCCGCATGAGGCCAAACTCGTTCGCGATCTGCCTGTGGTGGTTCTTCCAGGAACTACTGCGTCGGGAATACGTTTTCTTTGGCAGAACGGATGCAGTACCAGCAGAAAGCTCTTTTGAAACAACGGCTGAGTTCCTGTAAACAGATTTAACAAGTGATTGTCAGAAGTTTCATGAGAAAAGCCTCATGTTGCAAGCTAACCAACCACCGTGCCTCCTGTTGATGGCACATACAAAGGAACAAATGAATCAGAAGCATATACAGGACAAGCAAAAAGCCTGTGTCTCCAGGTGGCTCTGTGGACTGTTGCCCCTGCAGCATATCCAAGCATTAATTGTGTCCTACCCTCCGCATCTACTCACTAGTTGGTGTTTTTTGCTTCATCACAGTTCTTCCATTTCCAGCCCAGTAGAAACTATCGTTCCTACTGAGCTTCTCCAAGCCACTGTATTGATATAAGCTTACCGGACTTGGAGATACAAGCTTACTGGGCTTGGAGAAGCTCAGTGGGAACGATAGTTTGGCGTCCTTTGCAATATGCCTCGCCTGATGGTATTTCAGTGCTGCTTATTTCCCGTTATAGTGTACTTGGTACTACTCAAAAAAACGCAGATGGTGTTCATAAAAATATGGCACATCAACCCGTTTCTTTGAAAAGGGACACAACGTGCCGGAACGCTTCGGCAATATTTTCAGGCATTCACAAGACTGCCAATCTTACCTTTTCGCGAAAGGGAAGATGGGGGTCACACTGCACCTTCTGTATGAAGCCCAATACGGAAGTCTATTCGGCCACAAGTACACTGTAAAGGCGGGAAACACAGTCTAGATGCAAGACCTCTGGCAAACGAGATGATGCTCATAATAATGATGCCTCAACTGCTGTAAACAAACCGAACTAGCACAGGGTAGCATGTATCCGTATGGCGGAGCTGCCTTTGTAGGCGGCACACTTCCCTCAAGGCTAATAAACTCCACGCGAAAGTCCCATGATTCTTGAGCCTAAGACCGGATGGACGATCCGAAATGAGCGCTGCCCATCTGGCGAGGCAATTGAAGGGCCAGATGGGGGCATTTGTGTCAGGCACAAGCTCCAGTGAGTCCACTTAATTGTCTGGAAGTGGTGTTTTTCCTTGGCTTCAAGCAGTGACAAAGGGACAAGTGCCATGTGGCTACCTTGGCAGGCGGTGGTCCACAAGGTCGGGAAACTCCATCATAATTCCCCATGCGGTTATTCTTGAGCCTCTCACGGGATGAAGGAGTCTCATAATGAGCTGTTTCCATCTGACTGGGCAGTTGGCGGCATCCAGGTCAGGCACGAGTTCTATAGGATCTACTTCTTTGTCGATGAGGTACTTGGACATGGGCAGGGCATACTCTAAATAGTCTCTTTCATCCTCTGTATACGGCACGTTGCCGCCTGTGAATAACTCGTAAAGGAGCATTCCCAGCGACCAGAGGTCGCTGTGCGCCTGGGGCACTGCATTTTCTGCATACACGTCTTCTTGAATCCGCAGCGTCGGCTCAACGTACCTCCCAGAAAGCCTTATGTGCATTCCAATGGCCCTTCCGAACGGAATGCAAGCGTCAAAGCCACCCAAAAGAAAAGAGCCATCTGGGCGGGCATATATGTTGTCCCAAGCAAGATCGTTGTGGCTGAGCAGCGCCTCTTGCAGTTTAAGTACGATGTGGAGCAAACGCAAAGCAATGTATTCTTGTGCACGCAAGGAAAGGCCTGCTGTAATCAGAGACCCCAAGCGGAATTCTCCGTGCAACCTTTCCAAGATGTGGACGCGGCGGAAGAAATAGAAGCCACCGTGCAAAATTGCCCTGGGTGCGTTTGCAACATTGCCCACGTACAAGGGAACGGCAAGTCCTTTTTGCACTGCCGCCAAATGAGCCGGTGTGCCGCAGGACGCCTGCCTTCCAATGACCTCCTCTGAGTCCTCCCAACGTTGCGCAGAGGCCAAAAGCTTTTCTTCGTCTTCGGCATTCTGAATGCCCGCTGCAGAAAACACTCGAATTCGCAACGCATGCATCTTCTCACTCACAGTATCCTTTACTTCCATCACTATGCTCGGATACCGCGCTTTCAATACCTTCGTGACTCGAACTGAAGAAGGCAAATGCGTGCTTTCCTTCCCCCGGGGTTTTATCGGTTCAACATCACTTAAAGCAATAGCCATTCCAACCAGATTCTTCACATCTCCTCCTGACAGAGCCTCAGCTGCTTTCTGTTCTATGATCTGTGAGTACTCGTTGGGTTCAGCCGTGCTTGGGCATGATGTGGTTAGCAAAGAAGCAATTTCCTCTTTGCCTTGCCTCAACTCCGGTGAAAGCGTCTGCTCAAAATGGCTAAGGAACGGCAACCCCCATGCGTCGTACGAAGGCTGCTGTAGTGTGGGTGAAAGGCTTGCGTCATGCAGTTGGGTGGTGCCCAGTGCAACTTCACCTTCTGCCGAAGACGCAGGAGCCAGAGGCGCTTCCAGTGAAGGGTGCTGCTCCTTGCTGTCCCTGAAACGAACTAGGCGGGGGGGGATGCTCAGTTGAACTTGTTGGACAGGCAGATGAGCACCTAATAAAAGACCGCTTGCAAAGGAGAGGATCAAGGGAAGAACTAGCACTAGCTTCTGCAGTGAGCCCCTTTGCCCCCTGCCTGGTTTACCCTGCTTGCCGCCTGGGAGGATTTGTTCTATTGAGACAGCCACTCCATTTCTGGATGCCACTGAAGTTTCAGCTTCCACCGCTTCAGGGCCAACGCTTGCTGCAAGACGAGGCTCGAATTGCCCATCCATTTCTCTCCAGAGAATCAGTGAACGAGTTACACTCCAACGAGGAGACAAACGACACTATCTTCACACAGAGACTGAATAAAAAAGGTTATTGCGTTGTCTGCTGACAATTCCCTCTAGTCTGCTGCTTTCTGTTCAACGGCTGCCGAAAAGAGACCGCCGGAATGACCACGGAGGAAAGAAGCGCAGTGACCGAAAATATGAAGGGGACTTACAACATTCCCAAATTCAACATGATGACGTGGAGACGAATTAGCGATGGTTGATGTCAGGAAAATCGCAAAACGCTCTCTACACTGTTCGGGATTTCCTGGGATTAATGCTCCAGAGCTCTCCCCCCCTGTAACGAAATGCATGCGCTTTTTTTTTGAAAATCCCTTAATAATTCCCTCCTAACATCTCATTAATAACCCAACTTCGTGCCTACAGGCAATTAAGGCAAATATTATCTTCTGCGCCTCTGACGGAGTGTCTCGACTTCTTGCATAGAAGCGAGAAGCCCCCAATGCCGGGCGGCATGCATCGATGAGGAATTTCCGCCT